GGACCTGGACGATATCCATGTGATGTTGACACTCTTCAGAACAGTGACAGTGGTGTGTGAACATGCTGTTTACGTCTTGTGAGGTGGGGATTATCATACTCATTTTATTTTTTTTAAGTTTATGTATTTACTTTGAGAGAGAGAAGGGGAGGAGCAGAGAGACAGGGAGAGAGAAAATTCCAAGCAGCCTCTGCACTGTCAGTGCAGAGCTCAATGCGGGGCTCAAATCCAAAAGCTGTGAGATCATGATTGGAGCTGAAACCAAGAGCTGGGCACTCAACTGACTGAGCCACCCGGGCGACCCCAATACCCATTTTAAAGCTGAGACAAGTCCGCCTCAAAGAGCACACATGAACTTGCCAAAGGTTGTCAAACTAGCAAGTGGCAGGGCTAGACTTTAACCCCAAATCCACCCGACACCCATACCATGCCTTCTCACCACACCAGCCTCCTCTCTCTTCTCTATCTCTGTCTCTTAAACATCCATCTGCTTTCCTCCCTCTCACCTGCAGTCCTTCTGACTAACGGGGCGCAGGTAAGAGATGCAGAGTTTGGGCACAGCCTGAAGCTCTGTGACTGGGAGATGCCAACAGCAGCCAAAATCCATACCCCACACATTGTGGCAGCATGTTCTACACCACCCCACGCCTACTGAGTCAGAATCTCCATTTGAGCAAGATCCCTGTATGATTAGCAGGAGCATTAAAGTTTGAGAAATCTGCTCAAACCTACTCAAGTAACCTATTAGATGGTGATGCAAATTTTAGGGCTCTCTCATCAACAGAAAAAAGACCATCAATTTAAAAGTTTACCATTTTAATTAAGGGATTCAACTTAGTGGATTCATTTCTGTAACAGGTAACATGGCAGTTGTGATTTTCATAGACTTGCATGGAGAATATCCAGATGTTTCTTTTTTAGAGAGAGAGAGCGAGAGAGAGCATGGAGGGGGGTGGGGGAGAGAGAGAATATCTCACAATCATGAGATCATGACCTGAGCCCAAGCCAAGAGTCGGCACTTAACGGACTGAGCCACCCAGGTGCCCCATGAAATTGTATATTTTAAAGGCAGCATCAATGGGCTCCTAAATCCTTCCTCTCCACGTTTGCCTTCTTTGACCTTGACCTCCTTGGAGGTGGGGGCAGGGGCTGGAGTGAGAAATTTCAAAATGAAGCATGATCCTATCAACATTCTCTGTCTTTAGTTTACCCCGTCGCTTGTGAAATTGGGGTGATCCAGTGTAAGGGAGGGGGTGCCCAAACAGACACTATCCCTTCGTGTCTTAAAATAATTGCCAATAGGTTTCCAGAGCTCTCGGTCAGATGGGTGCAGATCCCTTGGTCAAGAACATCAAATACCCTTTCGTGTGTCTCTCACCATTTAGGCCTAGCGCCAGGAAAGTGAGCAGGAAACATGTGAGGCTCATTTCTTAATTTCCTACAGATCAAACACAGCTGTGTACATTCTGTGTGAACTACAACCACTTTCTGAAATTGAATTGGGTTGAACCCTGCTTCTTCATAGATAAGTCCATCTATCCTTTCCTCAGAGCCTACTGAGAAATGGATGGGAAATAAGACTCCAGTCCATAAAGGCTTAATAAAAATTCTCTCCATAAACTTATTTATTTGTTTGTTTGTTTGTTTTTGAGAAAGAGAGAGAGAGTGCAAGCAGGGGAAGGGCAGGGGGAGGGGACAGACGATCCGAAGCGGGATCTGTGCTACCAGCACAAAGCTCAACCAATGTGGGGGCTCGAACTCACGAACTGTGAGATCATGACTTGAGCTGAAGTCAGACGCTTAACCAACTGAGCCACCCAGGTGCCCCTCCATAAACCTGTTTTTTTAAAAAACCTCAAAACCTGCCTGAAGGGACACTTTCAATACGCTACACAGAATAAACCCCCTTTGGGGCCCTCTCCACAGCCCTGCTTTGCTATGGCACCGTTTACTGTCTCCATAGCCATGAGACCTTCGGGGTGAGCAAGATGAGCTGGGCTCAGCCGCACCGCGGGCGGGTCGGGCTCAGGTGCCCATACGAAGTGTAACTCAATCGCTGCCTCCTCCCCCATGTTCTCTTCTACAAGATGACACTAAGGAAATTTGGTGTCTACCCGCCCCCCACCCAACATGGGGAACTCAATCAACACGATTAGCCCAGAAGCAAAACGCATGGAAGTAGTTTTCTGGCTTTGGCTGCTCTTTGAGGTGCGGCTGGGATTTCTCCTGCTGGTTTTATGTTTGTCTGTCTGCATTTTTCCTTTTCCAGCAAAGTCATCACCTTGCAGCTTTCCTCCATGGACGAATACCAGAACTAAACTTCCACCTTCCTACTAAGCTTTATATTTCTAGGGGGCGATGACTGTTTGTACATTAGTTTGTTGTCTCATAACGTGAGTCAAGTTTTACTTAGCTAAATTCCCATGTTAACTAGAATGAAATAAGGCACAGAACCGCTCATAAAAATTTTTAGAAACTATTGGCGTCCTTAATATTTGGTTCCATTGTCCTCAAACCTTTAATGTTGCAAAGATGCTACCAATTTCCATGAGAGAAACTGTCAAATCTCAAACAGGAAAATTCAGAGGGTGAAGAATAGGAGAAAAGAAAACGCTTCCTTGATGCGTGACTGAACGCTACAGATCCGACCACAGCACGGACTCTCGTTCCCACTCAGCCAGTGATGAACTTGAACTTCCCCCACAGGGACGCCAGCTCCCACCTGCCCCGCCTGTAACCAGCAGGAAATTCAAGGGCCTGATCTCATGCACGGTGGCCGCTTTACCCACAGGAGAGTCTTCTCTCGACGCCAGGAGAAGACATTCACCCAAGAAAAGGCACACGTTCAGTCCACCTCGGTTTTGATGTTCAGGAAAATGCATGCATCCAGGGCAAAGGGGGGGCAGATGAACACGTAACCAGTGGGCTCCGAGGCCGCCGCCCCGCCAGCCGGTCCGACCTGTGCGGGGTGCACTCCCGCAGATGCCTCGTGGGCACTTGCTGGAAGGATGGGAGTGTGTTCTCTCCACCCGCGCAGCTGCGGTTTGGGCACCATCTTCTGTCGTTTCTCGCCCGAGGATGAAGGAACTCAAAACTAATAGAAGCCGCAGCGTTCAATGCTTTGTCGGGAGGAGCCTCCCAAATGGTCTCCCTACTGTGCGTCTGAGCCTGCTGCCCCCCTGCCTTATGAAAACCTTTCCGAAGCTCCTAGCCTGGCAGGATGGGTCCGCCATGGCCTGACCTTGTGGTGGGGTCCCCTCCCTAAGGAAAGAAAAAATAAAGAATATTTCAAGGCAACCTTGCTTATTTGCACATGACAGCCTCCCTCACGACCTTGTAACACGAGACCACGTAATCAGACTGCGTGTTTGTGTGTTATATATGGGAGACAAAGAAGGAAAAAATATATTAAAAATGACGCCACAGGGTGCTCGGGGCTCAGTTCTTTGGGTACGAACCCAACTGAGAGGTGCCGGCAGGAATTAAGTTGCTTCCTGGGAAGAAAAGCCTCGGTGTCACGACTCTCTGTGTGAGGCTCCTGCTACAACCTCAGTCTGCCCCTCCAGCCCGGTCCCCCCAGCTCTCACCCCACAGTTCGCCTCGTGACCACACGGAGCTGCACAGGCAAGGGTATTCTTGCCCCCTGGGGTTTCCAGCCCGCCCACCTCAAGTCTAACAGCCCCCACCCTGCAACCTCTCGCCCGGTTTGCACCTACTCGGCCCTGGAGAGACAGCTCTGGTTCCTTCCCTCCCATCCCAGGGGGTGCGATGTCCCTCTTCTCTGCTCTCATAACCCCGGGGCCCTGGGCGAAGAGCTCTGTGCCTACCTTGTGGAAGGTACTGGCAGTCCTGTATTATTTTAGTGGGATGCTAAATTCAGCACTGATTGGTGATTCAGAAACTAGCATACGTATATTACAGAGAACTTCCCCGGGGTGCCTGGGTGTCTCACGTGGTTAAGTGTCCAAGGGTCTGACTTCGGCTCAGGTCATGATCTCACGGCTCGTGGGTTTGAGCCCTGCTTCGGGCTCTGTGCTGACAGCTGGGAGCCTGGAGCTGCTTCGGATTCTGTGTCTCCCTCTCCGTCCACCCTCCCCCCGCTCTTTCTCTCTCTGTCAAAAATAAATAAACATTAAAAAATTTAATAAGAAAAAAAGCGCTTCCTTAATCTGGTAGAGTATCTGTGGACAGCCACAGCAATATCCCTTTCCGTGGTGAAAAGTTAAAAGCTTCAGCTCTGAGGTCCAGACCAGGACAAAGATACCCACCGTCACCACTGACACTGTGTTGAAGCTCTCAGCCAGAAAGGAACTAAGGAAACCAAGTGGATGTTTTTATAGGTATGTACACAGGAAATGCTGAAGAATCTATAGACAAATTAGAACTAATAAATAAATTTTGCAATTTAGTTGATACAGAATATCTGTGTCTATGTTTATCTATCTACATAGAGACATTCCAAATGACTTTGTATGGTCTGAAGGTTTCTTTCCCAGCTCTTGACAAATCGACTGCAAAATTTATATGGAATTGCAAGGAGCTAAGAATAGCCAAGATAGTTCTAAGAAGAAAAATGAGGTAGGGGACTTGCCCTACCAGAGACCAAGATTGATATAAAGCTTTAGCAGTTGTGACAGTTTGGAATTGAAACAAGGAGAGAAAAAGATTCCAGAGAGACAGAAGTGGGTCCGGAGGCAGACCCATTCTTACATGAGTATCTCATTTATAAAGAAAAAGTCATTGAAAATCACTGGAAGAAGAAAGACGTTTCGATAAATAGCATATGGTTCAATAAACAGTGTCTGGTAATCCACGTAATAAAATAAAAACGAATCTGATGCATCTTGACACCATATGCAAGAGTCAATTCCAGGTGCGGTAAAGTGAGAACCATGAAGATTTTAGAGGGTAATATAGGAGAATATTTTCATCACTCTGTATAAGGAAATATTTTCTGTTTTCTTTTTTTTTTTAATCTAATTTTTTTGAAGTAGGCTCCATGCCCAGCATGGGGCTTGAACCCACAACTCTGAGATCAAGAGTTGCATGCTCTACCAACTGAGCCAGCCAGGCACCCCGGGAAATATTGTTACTTTTTATATTTACTTGAGAGAGAGTGCGCGGGGCAGGGGCCAACGGAGAGAGGGAGAGAATCTCAAGCAGACTCCACACTCAGCACAGAGCCGGATGTGGGATTTGATCCCACAACCCTGGGATCATGACCTGGGCTAAATCAAGAGTCAGTCAAGAGTCAGAAGTTCAATTGACTGAACCACCCAGGTGCTCCAGGAAATAATTGTTTTTTTAAAGTTTATTTCTTTTGAGAGAGAGAGAGAGAGAGAGAGAACACCATTGGGGTAGATGCAAAGAGGGAGGGAGAAAGAATCTCAATCCCAATGTGAGCCTTGATCTCATGAACCATGAGGTCATGACCTGAGCAGAAATTAAGAGTCCAACTCTTAGCTGACTGAAACACCCAGACACCTCAGGAAAGATTTTTAATATAAGATACAAAACACGCTGTTCAACGATGTAATGATTAAGAAACAAGTACATTAAAGACTTTCATCAGTTAGTCTAAAGAGAGTGAATGTTTGAGACACAGCGAGAGAAGGGGCTAATATCAAAGATGTATAAAGTCCTTTCACAAATCAAAAAAGCTAATAAAAAAAAATGGACACAAGTGTTGAGTAGACACTTCAGAGAGGCAGTGCAAATGGCCAATACATATATGAAGTCTCTCAACTTGAGCTGATTAAATGATAAATTACACTATAATCAAATACCATTAAACATTCAGGTATCATTCACCCAGCCAACAGATTTAGCACAGAGGAGAGAGGTCTGACAATATCAAGCTTTGGAGTCAATGTGCACCACGAACTTTCACTTCCCGTTGAAGGGAGCATCATTTGATACCGCTGTTCAGGAAAACCTTTGGCATTCTCCGGCAGATTTGAAGAGATGCAAATTCTACGACGCAGCAATGTCGCTCGTTAGGGCATAACCTAGAGAAAATTATGTCCCTGTGCATCAAGAGAGGGGTACAAGAATGCTTATAAGAGTATTGGTTTTAAAATAGCTCCAAACCAGAAATACCGTAGGTGTTAATCTGCAGCCTGATAATCAGTTAATTGTGGATTGATAAACGGTGGTTGATTCTCCAGCATAATGACAAGTGAAAAGAATAAGGGACAAAAAGGGGTGTCTGGGTGGCTCAGCTGGTTAAGTGTCTGTCTCTCGGTTTGGGCTCAGGTCGTGATCTTGCTGTTTGTGAGTTCGAGCCCAGTTTCGGGCTCCATGCTGACGGTGAGAAGCCTACTTGGGATTGTCTGTCGTCCTCTCTCTCTGCTCCTCCCCCACTTGCTCTGCCTTTTTCTCTCTCAAAACAAACAAACAAACTTAAAAAGAAGAATAAGGGACAAAAGAATGTATATGCTATGATTATATGAATATATTTTATATTTTAAAATTAATATTCTCCATTTTCTTCTCCGTTTTCTATGTTTACGTGCTTGTCACCAGCTACCGGGCCCTGGGCTAGGAACTTAACTTCTGTCTGCAGAAATACTCTGCCAAGAGCTGGTTGTGATATCAAGTTGGCCACACTGGTAAGTAAAACCCAGCTGATTACATATCTCTTAGAAAAGGGAATTTCAGAAATTCCTGCTTTTATTGCTTTGTTTTGCAAAATTCAGATACGTTTACCGATGGTAGTGTGCAATCCTCATCTCGCTAAATATAAAATCCTCCTCCTTCCGCTTTTCTTTCGTCCAGCACGGGGCTGAATTGCCTGTTGATAGAGCTTCTGCTTCTGCTTCTAAGGCAATGGACTCATGTCTATTTATTCACTGAAAAACCACACCACCTTTCGGTGGCTCAGATCATACTGACGATCTCTGGACCGTATACTCTAACCTTACCTTCGTAGTCAACTGCTCAGAATGTCAACCTAAATATTTTTACCAAGATGATACAGCATTACTAATTAAGGAATTAACGATTACTAAGTAAATAATTAGTGAAGGATGCTTATAGACTTTTCGGAGGTCAAAGACAACTTTCAGAGACCACAGCTGCAATTACTAAACCTCACACTTCTTGCAAGTCTCCTTCGTTAGCATTAGCGTCTGCAAGAGCGCTTTTATGGTGTCTGCTTTGTTCTCAGTAGCTCTAGGGCGAGATGACATTTTCTCTTCTTATTTGGATGTTTCGCCAGTTGTTAGAAAAGTTGTAAGTATCAAGGCCAGGTGCCAGAATTCCATTAGTTTGCCCCAAGGGAATAACAGCAACAACAAAAAACCCAACATAAAACCGGTTTGAGAGGCTGAAACTTACAATATGGAAAAGGAAAGGACCTGCTAACACATTGAATGGGAGGGAAGAAATGGTTTGCATCTGTAAGACCAAGCTGACACCCCGAGGCAAGGTCCTAGCTTAGTTTTAGTGTTTCTGGCTATTCTGCTAACCTCCGGAGAGTTGTTTTTTGTTTTTTTGTTTTGTTTTGTTTTTGTTTTTTTGGTATAAATGAGAGAGTTTCTGGTTATCACTGATTGAAAGTTGTGGCCGAAATGTTGATTATTCATTCAGTATCTGCGGCTCCTCCATAGTCGCTGGCCCCCCTTCAGTTAAATGGGGTCATGCAGCTATTCGTGGCCAGTGACAGTGTGTGACAGTATGCAGGTGACTCTGTGTGACTAGCCCTAAGCTAGGGCTTAGGGCTTCATCCCTGAGCAGAAGGATGCTGAGGGCCACTCCCTGTGTCTTCTGCAGCCACCGGGAGACCGTACCGTTGCTCCTGGAAGCCTGCGTCTTTGGGTCACAGCTGGGAAGGGGGCGCCCTGAGGAGATAGCAGACCCACATGAGATTGTTAACGTGCTAGAAATAAACTTTCCTGCGTTGGGACGTTGAGATTCTTTGTAAGCGCAGCACAGCCTAAAGTGACACAGAGGGAGTTGTGTTTTTTTTTTTTTTCTCTCTCTTGTGGTTTCAAGATTAGAATTCAGTGATTCATCACTTACGTACAACACCCAGTGCTCTTCCCAAGTGTCCTCCTTAGTACCCGGCACCCATCTCGCCCATACCCCGCCCCTCCTCTCCATCAACCCCTCAGTTTGTTCTCTACCATTAAGAGTCTCTTGAGGTTTCTTTTTCATTTTTTAATGTTTATTTCTTTTTGAGAGACACAGAGAGAGAGAGAGAGAGAGTGTGTGTGTGTGTGAGCAGGGGAGGGTCAGAGAGAGGGAGACACAGAATCTGAAGCAGCTCCAGGCTCCGAGCTGTCAGCACAGAGCCCGACACGGGGCTCAAACTCACAAACCACAAGATCGTGACCTGAGCTGAAGTTCGATGCTTAACCGACTGAGCCCCCCAGGCGCCCCCGTGAGCGTCTTGTGGTTTCTGTCCCTGTCTTCTCTCCACCCCCTTCACAGAAGGAATTTTTAACTCTAATTTTTTCCAATCGTCTATCTGATGTTGCCTTCATTCATTCAACGGTGTTTATTACTTTTTAATTTTTTATTAGAGAAAGTGTGAGTGGGGGAGGGGCAGAGGGAGAGGGAGAGAGAGAAAATCTTTTTTTTTTTTTTTACAAATAGTTTATTGTCAAGTTGGTTTCCATATAAAACCCAGTGCTCATCCCCACAAGTGCCCTCCTCCATGCCCATCCCCCCTCCCCCCCACCCCCATCAGCCCTCAGTTTGTTCTCAGCATTCAAGAGTTTCTCATGGTTTGCCTCTCTCCCTCTCCCCCACTTCCCCCCCCCCATCTTTTCCCCTACGGTCCTCTGTTAAGTTCCTCCTCATCCTCCTATATGTGCAAACATATGGCATCTGTCCTTCTCTGCCTGACTTATTTCGCATAAGTCATGAGCATATGAGCATATGAGCATAACACCCTCAAGGTCCATCCATGTTGCTACACAGGCCAGATTTCATTGTTTCTCATTGCCGTGTAGTATTCCATCGTGTAGATAAACCACATCTTCTTGATCCATTCGTCCGTTGATGGACACTTAGGCTCTTTCCATGTCTTGGCTATTGTTGAGAGTGCTGCTGTGAACATTGGGGTCCGTGTGCCCCTGTGCATCAGCACTCCTGTGTCCCTCGGGTAAATTCCTCGCAGTGCTATTGCTGGGTCCTAGGGGAGTTCTGTTGTTAATATTCTGAGGAACCTCTACACTGTGTTCCAGAGGGGCTGTACCCGTTTCCATTCCCACCAACAGTGTAGGAGGGTGCCCGTTGGAGAGAGAGAATCTTAAGCAGGCCCTGCACTGGCCGTGGACCTCTCACCATGAGCTCATGACCTGAGCTGAAATCAAGAGTCACCACGTTTAGCGGACTGAGCTACCCAGGTGCCCCACATTCGAAGGTGTTTATGGTTTATGGCGTTTCTCTCCTAGCTGGGGCTTGGGCACTACACTGTGATGTGCGGGTGACCACGCAGTTAACAGAATGGTGCTGAGCAGAGCAGCAGGCGTTCAGCCCAAGCCATCAGGACAGGCTTCCGGGGAAAGGAGACACCGAGAGTCCTGAGAGACGGCAGGAGGTAGCGCAGACTAGGCAGGCATGGAAGGGCATTTTAGGCGGGAGGAACATGAAGGGCAGAGGGTGAGAATGGACACAGCAGGTACAGGCAACTGCAGGAGGAGGTCAGCAGTGCCAGCGAGGCCCCCACCTTCGCTGGCAAGGCGCACATGACCTCTGCGGGGGCCCCACCTGCTACGCCCGCACAATCGGCAACTGCTCATATCGGCCGCTTTGGCTCAGTTATCTTGCATGTGAGTGCCGAACAGGGCGAGGAAACCTAATTACAAATCGTTTTGGAATGAGCCAGACCCGAGTGTAGATCCTGACGTGGTCATTGGACAAGTCATGTAACTTCTGTATGAAAATTCATTCCATGTTGCAGGTTCGTGAGAACATGCAATCGTGTTTCACAGGCAGCGTATCTCAATTTACAGTTGACAAAATGCACACGCGCGTGCACACACGCACACACGCCGTGTCTGGTACGGTATAAGCCAGTTCACCATGTCCAAGGGCGGCTCCGAGGCAGCATCGCCGGGACGCAG